TATACTTTTTAGAACTATTAGTTGGACTAACCAAAATTTGTAGTAATTAGCAAAACAAAACATTAATGGCTGAAGTTACTTTTTTTTGTCAGTTGTAGTGATTTGTTGAAATCACAATATCCACTTTTATTTTATTATCTAAATGATTATTAAACTGTATTTTTCTTAACTTACTTAGCCCCTCTTTGATGGTCATTATTTTGAGCAAATGAAATTTTGATTAGTAATTTTTTGAAGAATTTGTGGTTAAAAAGTAGAATATATGAAGATGTATGACTCGTTCAAAACCATTTTAATTCTTTGAATCGACTATATGAATGATTTTAAAACTAGTTGATCCATAATTCGAGAATCGAGTCCGCGAGCATATGATGAAATCCTCTTTGAGAGTCTTTGGATCACTTGAGATAAAAGCGTTAGGCTTTTACCAAAATCTTGTAGATATTGTTAAGTCGATGTGCCATACAATAATGCCTAATCGAACGTACCAATCCGCCAAAAAGAGTTTCCAAATTTTTTATGTCCCCAATACCGTATCATTCTACGTATCTACGGTACTAGAAAGAATATAATTTTTTATGCGAGAGAGATATGGAAAGGTAGCATCTCCATATGTCATACTTTTGTACTGTCTGCTGCGTTGTAACAATGAAAAAAATATACTTCAAAAATCCATGAAAATGATGTTTTAGGAACAGTACGCAAATGTTTTGTAACTTTTCACAACTGTCTCTTAAAAGATATGCAAGTCGGACATCAAATAGAACAAGTCCTCATTGGTTTTAACACCAACAAGTGGCGCTGCCTTGTTAGAGCCGGCCAAATTATTCACCCTCATATATGTACACCTTTGCTTCAATTTCTTCAATCCTCCCTTTTGTTCTTGTTCATAATTTTGAGCGATTTTCGCAGAAAAAAGCAAATGATTTTGAAAAATAAGTAGATAAGTAGAAGTTTGGGAAAAAGAAGCAGCAAAAAAGATGGATAGACTTGTAAGTTTGGAGCCATCTAATGCTGTGACAATCAGGATTGAAGCAGGGCAGAGGTGTTACGGTGAGCTGACTTTGCGTAACGTGATGTACACGATGCCTGTGGCGTTCCGGCTTCAACCGATGAATAAAACACGGTATGCTATTCGACCTCAGTCAGGAATAATCTTGCCTCTTACGACAGTAACCGTGGAGATTACTTACCAATGTTCGCCAAATTCGAGCCTACCGGATCACTTCCCACACTGTGATGATTCGTTCATTTTGCAAAGTGTGGTGGCTCCCGGTGCAGCGGTTAAGGATATTTCATCAACATATGATTCGGTTCCGAGTGAGTGGTTCACCAATAAGAAAAAACAAGTGTATTCTGATAGTGGGATAAGGATCTTGTTTGCTGGTTCCTTAATCCTGGCTCAACTTGTGACCAAAGGCTATATGGATGAGATTAGAGAGGTGCTTGAAAAGAGTGATCCTGGCTGGAAGGCTGCTGACTCTGTTGATGCAGATGGTCAGTCACTTCTTCACTTGGCTATTGCTCAAAGTAGGCCTGATTTGGTCCAATTGCTTCTCGAGTTTGGGCCGGATATCGAGGCTCACAGCCGAGCAGGATGCAGCCCTCTCGAGGCGGCTGCAGCCTCCAACGAGGGGTTGATTGTCGAACTCCTGTTGGCACATAATGCCACCCCAGAAAGATCGGAATCCTCGACTTGGGGCCCAATTCACCTTTCGGCAGGAAATGGACACACTGAGGTACTAAGGCATCTTTTACTCAAGGGTGCTAATGTGAATGCCCTTACGAAAGACGGGAACACGGCTTTACACCTTGCGGTTGAGGAGCGAAGAAGAGATTGCATGAAGCTACTCTTGGCTAATGGTGCAAGTGCTAATATCCGAAATGCAACTGATGGCGAGACACCGTTACATATTGCCTCCAGTTTAGGCGACGATCAAATGGTCAAGATTTTAATCCACAAGGGAGCCAATAAGGATATTAGGAGCAAACATGGAAAGACAGCATATGATGTCGCAGCTGAGAATGGACACACTAGGCTTTTTGATGCGCTTCGTTTAGGGGACAGCTTATGCGTGGCTGCGCGCAAGGGGGAAGTGAGAATGATCCACAGGCTTATTGAAAATGGCGCGTCCATTAATGGGCGTGATCAACATGGCTGGACAGCCCTCCATCGCGCCTCATTTAAGGGCAGGATCGAGGCTGTCCAGGCTTTAATCGAGAAGGGAATCGACGTTGATGCTAAAGATGAAGACGGTTATACAGCCTTGCATTGTGCAGTAGAATCGGGACACCCAGAAGTTATCGAACTGCTTGTAAAGAAGGGAGCTGATATTGAAGCAAGAACAAACAAGGGTGTTACTCCATTGCAAATTGCTGAATCATTGAGTTATTTGGGTATTATTCGGGTACTAGTCCGTGGAGGTGCCACAAAAGATGGTGTTTCACAGGTTTCTAAACAGAATTCAGCGCCATCTGATAGGGGAATTGGTGCTAGAAGACTGGAGATTGGGACAATCAAGAAAAAGACTAATCGCACAAGAATCCATCGAAGTGGCTTTGATCGATCCTCCCCATTAGCGGTCATCTAGAAAAAAAATGGTATCTCAAACAAGAGAGTTGAAATATTTTTTCCTAGACGAAATTCGCAGAAAAATTAATGTTGTAGCTTGATAGAAACATTGAATCCCCAGAAAATCATGTGTAAGCATTGTTCCTCTTAGGCAATTTGTGTAATGATATGAAGATGTAACTTTTTTCATATATTTTTCATCTACCTTAACAAGTATACTATAAAACTTGTCTTCGTAGTACTCTGTAAAGAGGCGTATATTCCTAGTTTTGTTTGGATGTGCCAATAAATGTCTCGAAAGACGAGTGTATCAATGAGAAGTGCAAACGAGTTAAATAAGTTATAATTTTTCCTTAGTTAATAACCTTTTGTCCTTTGAGAAAACACTGAAAAGATCTTGTTTTTTAATTATTTATATTTAAATTTTACAAGAATGTTATGAGGTCGAAATGACCTCGTGTCTTATTTCGACTTTAATCGTGTTTGAAAAAAAAAATCATTAAATTGTGTATCACTATAGAACAATATCTTACTAGTTTATCTTATGTGCATTGCACGTGTTGTGTTCCGATAATTAAACATATACTTTATGTTGTTTATATATTGTGATTTCAGCTAAAATCATGTTAGTATATACAATAGCGTATATTATATACATATAATTATATATAATTGAAGATTTGAACTTTTTATTAAGTGGCTTGTTTAATTTTGCTAAAAATCATATTTTTAGTATATTTTGAGAAAAATAGATAAATTTGTAATTAAAAGTTTCGTAAAAATCGTGGATCACGATTGGTTAAAAATAAGTACGGGTATCCAAAAGTTTCGAACAGAACCTGAACCGAATCGAATCGAGCGGTTCTTCATAAGTTAAATACCCGAACAGGTACCCAAATCGAAAATCGATAGATTTGGATCGGGTCTTCAGTCTAGACCAAGAACCGAAGATCCGAAACTAAATAATTTTTTTTGTATATATTGAATTAATTAAATTATTTTATTTTTATAACTTTTAATTTATATTTCATTTTCTTTATGCAAGCAGGTTGCTTGAAGCAAATGAATTTACTTTATTTAGTATTGCTGTAATATTAATATTTATTTTTTGGTATTTGTATGCATTGAATTAATCTTATTAGACAGCTAGTTATTTATATGTTTTTTTAATTGGGTTACGTTAATTTGTAAAAGTTATGAATGAAATGTCATTAGTTGTATCTATATAGTGTTGCTGTAAATATTAAAAAATGTAATTATGGTACGGAACCGAACCCGAACGGTTCCATAATTATATTTGGACCCGACGATTCCATTTATTAAATATCCGAAAGTTTTGGGTCGGTTCGATTCTCTTCCGAACCGAATCGACCCACGGACAGCCCTAAAAATAAGTTTCGAAAAAATGAATTTTAAAAATGGAGGTCAAAATTCGTAAAAACCCATGTACTATTAAGGTGATTATATAATTCCTAGACAATATATAAATTTTAAAATAAAGCACACTAAAGAAATTATTATATTCTATTAGTACATTAATATATATTAATATAAAATTATTCTATTTTATTAAATAATCATATTTATTGAAATAACATATCATAAAATAATCTTTCAAAATTTCAAATTAAAAGTATTTTTAAGTTTGTCGTTTTGAGAAACAACTTTTTGAAATGACAAATCAAATGTGTTTTTAATAATCTTAAAATATATGTCCAAAATAGAAAATTGAAAAGGAACTCAAAACTTAAAATTAAAACACAAAATATCTTGAGAAATGGTGGGTGTACCGGGTGTGAGTTCAATCACGACCCACCTCAATAAAAAAATAAAAAGGATTACCCCACCCCCATGTGAGTTGTTTGTCGGTGAACCTCCACATGTACACCCAACATTTCCCAAATATCTTTGTGGCTTTAAATTAATGAAGCTTGTTTTATTAATCAACATTTGAAAATGAGCCAATATCTACTTTTAAAGTTTTGTGGTTGTGGAATTAATTGTATGATTGGGGCTCTAATTAATGAGCCAATATCTACTTTCCAAAACTATACTTTTTAGTTTTTCCATGACAAAAATGTTCCCAAAATGTGAGTAATTTACTCACGATTTAATATAGTTAAAAAAATTGATAAAAAATTAAGTTAAAATTAATCATTAATTTTAATTATACATTTTACAAAATTTACAATTTTTTAACTGTATTTCATTAATTTTTATTAAAATTTAATAAAAATCTGATTTTTAACTACACCAAACATGGGTTTAAGTTGTTAACTTTTTTTTCTTCAACGTATGTCGATTCACATAAAGACTTTTTTTTTTAAATAAATCATTTCAAACATGCTCTATGTCTTTACTGTCTTTTCTTTCTTTAATTTCCAGTTTTCCTTTCATTTTTTTAATTCTAAAAATGATGATTATATTGACACTACTATTTTCTTTTGGTGCACCACTTTTTGCACTAAATGTTTTAAATATTTGTTTATTATTGCATATATGTTCTCACTTTTTTATTGCATTTTTTTATCAGTCTTCTATTGATTAGTGCATTTGGTCTCTAATTATGGTTTATTACAAAAGATTCTGGCAGCATACTTTGAAACCAGTGGTAAATATTTTGGGCAATGCTACATGCACATAATTTTTTTTACCTAATCTTTTACCTACACTCACAATAAGGTGTGAGGACCACATTTTTTGAATTTTTTATTCACGCGAGTCCAACGCACATGTGAGAGGGTGTAACATTTTTGGTAAGGAAAATTCAGTACAAATAGTTTTATTCAAATATTTCCGTCTCCTTTTTTTAAAAAAAATATTTTTTGAAGGGCAAATAAGTTTTTTAATGCATTCCTAGATGACTTTTTGGATGTAAACCGTCATCAAAGATAAACTACGCTAATTAGTGAAATATTGCGATAAGAATGAGACGTACAAATTGGGGACGACATATAAGTGCAACGGTGAACGAATATTGAGAAAATTTTAGTGAAATTAAAATGTGGTACAACAATATAAAATAATGGTTACAATATAACCAACCTTTTAAAAACACTATGATCTATTTGCAAATTGCAATTATTGGATCATAACCTCATTTATTTCCTAAAAAGTGCACTTACACACGATGCGCATGGAAAAAGTTTTGCCTTGGCAGTAAGCGCGAATTAAGGGGTGCACGCTTTACTTTTTTTCCCCTATTTATAAAAATATTTTATTTTGACTTTAGTTTATTAACTTTTTTTATTTTATTTTTTTTCTAAAAGGTTTTTATTTGACTTTAGTTTTAAATTTTTAAATGACTTTATTTGTACAAAAGTAAAGAAACGATTTTATTCAATAAAGATTTAGATAAGATTTAATTTACAGTGCTATCTATATTATGTAATTATTATTTTGAAACTTATCGTTTTGTTGAAAACTTTGAAAATACGTATAAATTCCTATAAATCTCTTAAAGTATGATTTGTCTAGTTGAAATTATGAAAAATAGTTTAGATTTTACATTTCGAAAACTTGAAATTATATAATTGACTAATTGTAAAAATTATTAAGTAAATAATAGTATTTTCTAACTTTTAGATGTTTGGTATATATTAGGTTTATTATTAAACGACTTTTAGAATGATTCAGGATTTAAAATAATAATAAAAATAAGTAACTTTTTTAATGTTTAGGTCTCGCCTAGACTCGCAAAGTTTGAAACTTGGACTCCACGCCTAACTACACCTTACTCCTTTTAATTAAAACACTGCCAACACTAGATAGTACCAATCATTCGTGACTCTCCACCACCATCATGCAAACCCCCACCACAATCGCACCCCATCAACACTTTTGGAGGGGCAATATGAAGAATCAGAGTTAGAGTCCATCAACCATCATCGAAATTAGAAATAGAAACAACATCGATGAAAATTTATGTGCTAAGCTCATCGGAACTTTGTTGTCACGAGATGCAACTTTGATGACAGAAATAAAAGTGTGTGCATGAATCTCATTTAAGATTTGATGTCGCAAGATGGCCAACCTGGAATAGGGTGATGGTGCAAAATTGACGAATGAAGGTAACATGGTTTGTTACAAAGGTCACCAAATTCGAATATGTACGTTATACCTCATGTTACAGGTGCAATTGTTGACAGTTAGAGAATACTCGAGTTTGACGGGGTTTGGGTAAAGATATAGAATTAGTAATGGTGTATTTTATATAATACAATAACAAAATGTGTAACAAAGTGTAATTTAACACATAAAATAAAATGTGACACAAGAATATAATACAATTTTTTCAAAAATTT